CGTTAGGTGTGGCTTATGCTTAATGAAAAATATAACTTAATTGATTTAAATGTTGAATTGTGATGATAGTTTATCTTATGTAGATGATGATTTAATCTAGTCCATTATGCATTGACCTATGATGATATATAATGATGTTTTTAAGTTGATAAAGTTGAAAGTTGATTATTAGTTGAAGTTGTATGAAATAGAGTTGTATGATGATAAGTTGTATAGTGGTGAATGAAACTGTGTAGTGAATGCTTGATGCATGTAGTTTGTGTTGTTGACTTAGGACCACAGAAGAAATGTTGTTTTAAAAGATGAATATTCCATTGTAAGGATTTGTGTGTTGTGATACGTTAAAAGCCTAGTTGTTGAAAAATCCTTCTTGAGTATAGTTATCTCTTGAAATAGAGATTTGAGTCTCCTCTAGGTCTTTAGTTGATACAATATGGAGGTTAGTTTGAGCCTTATTGGTTTAAAAGTGAGCAATCGAGTAAAGTACAAGGTTGGGGGTCAAAATCCCTAAGAACCACAAAGGTGCGCAGTATTTGAAGAGTAATCAACAAGATAATTTCATATAGACTTAGTTATGCATGTTAAGGTTATGGTATTGAAATTGTTCTATTTTTGACAATGACACTAGACTTTTCTAATTAAGTGACAAAATCTGACAAATCATGTTTTGTTGCGGATTGATATCCAAATTTGTTGTTGATCTAACAAACTTAAAAAGATTGCATTGTTTAGTTGGTTTCATAGGGTCAAACCACTTAGATTGCTCCTGTAACTACCTGTCGTGGTCCCTACACTTAATGGGATCGCACTAAAATTTGTAAACTAAGATAAATAATAAAATTGGATAACTCATAAATACAAAAACATGAAAAATATATATAAGAATAATTAAGTTTTTAAGTATTATATTTATACAGTTATCCAAAACTATTATCTCCTAGTGCCGGTCAAACACAAAACTGTTACCCAAGGTGGTAACTCTGACACTAGGAACCAAAATTCCACTTCGAGCAGCAGACTCAGCCAACAGCTCCAACCTAGCCCTGATCTGCTCCTATACACCGTATGATCATAGCAGTCCATCCACATAGAAATAGAAGGGTAAGCTAGAATTCAATAATCAACCATATAGGTATAGGGAACATACTATACTACTCATTCATTCAATCATCATCACAAAGACCATACAGTTCAACATAAAAACAGAACTCATTCATACAACTTAGAAGCAACTTTAATACAACAACAACAACAACAACAATATACAACTTAATATTTAATGCGTCGTCACGCATGTACAACTGGGAGATCTCCAACAACTGAGGTTGAGCAGTCTAGGTGGCATAAACCTTACCGAATCCAATGTTTGACCTATCTCAACCAGGTTAGGTATAGTACAACGTTAGGAACACCGAAGAGAACCAGGTATAGACAACAATAGACGATTTCTCAGGTGTGCCACTTAGACTCGGAGGTCCAGTACTACTGTCAGGACAGAAGGGTTTGGGTATGAGCCTACCACGGCCTTGGCTAGCTTCACCAATCCTCATGTGGAGTTAGCCCACCCACTGTCCTCCAAGTACCACGCACCCTCCAGTATCTAGTCAAAGACTACATCTCTAACTAGATACCTTACTCAAATTGGTCATTCAACCATGACATGGATCGACTATTTCCATGTCGCCCACACAATACTAAGGGATTCAACTTTAAAACAACTTTCAACTTATCACCTTAGTACTATGTATCTCAACATAGATCATATATCTTCACCATATGTCCCCAACTTTTCAACTTTACAACAATAGGCATCTTAACAACTTCACAGCAATAGACAACTTACAACTTTACAGCAATAGACAACTTACAACTTTAAGCAACTTACAACAATACAACTATAGACATCTTACAACAAGCGGCAACTTATAACAATACAACAATAAACATCTTACAACAATAGGCAACTTATACAACTTTAAACAACTTTTACATCAATAAACTACTTCAACTTATACATCTCAACTTATTCATAATTCAACAATAAACAACATAAAAACAACTTAGTTTTAGAACGTATAACAACTTTAACATTGTATCACATATTATCAACACACCACATATGAACAACTTAACCCAACAATTTAATCATTTTCAAAGAAACACTGCATGAAGCTTCCCTAACTCTCCTAAAATTAAACAATCTACATTCTAGCTTCCCTCACCTGAAGATTGGCTCAGATTAGCCAAAAACTGAAAAGAAGTAGAATTTTCCTTCGAAGCTCAACCCGGAACTTCAATCTACCCAAAGCAAGTTTTCTAATCTATATTTCAAGAAATGACAGAAGGCATTAGTGGTCTAGAGAAGAAAATAAATCATACAGAGAAATTTGGGAGAGAAAGGAGCTCATAGACCCAGAGACCTTCTCTCTAAAACTTCTCTCTAAAAACTCACATTCTCCTCACTGCCCACAACCCCTGTTTATAGACATTTCAGAGTGGCCAGAACGGCCTGTACCGAATCCGGAACGGCCCGTTCTGCACCCCTTCTTCATGTGCAAAATTCACATGCAGAACGATCTGTTCTAAAATCAGAACGGCCCATTCTCCATCTAGAACGGCCCGTTCTCCATCCAGAACGGCCCGTTCTCCCTCCAGAACGGCCCGTTCTCAACTACGATTTACAGGTCAATTTAATAGCTTGGAACGACCCGTTCTAGATTGGGAATGGCCCGTTCTGGGCTACTAAATCACCTATATTGGGCTTTCTAAAATAACTTGCTACATTACAATACCCCCCAACAAATAGGAATTTTCGTTCCCGAAAATAGGCTTACCTGAAAAGAGGAATGGATATTGTTCCTTGAACTAGCTCTCTACTTCCTAGGTTGCCTCACCAATAGCTGCATCCCAAAGAATCTTCACCAAGCTAATGGACTTGCCACGAAGCTCCTTCAACTTGTGATCAATCACAGCTACCGGTCTTTTCTCATAAGTCAAGTTCTCTCTAACTTGCACCTCATCCATCTCTACCACGTGACTCGGGTCTCTGATGTACTTCCTCAACTGTGAAACGTGAGACACATCATGCAGGTTGGACAAAACCGGAGGTAACACCAATTGATAAGCTACCGGACCTACACGACGAAGGATCTGGTAAGGACCAATGAATGTGAAACACATCATGCAGGTTGGACAAAATCGGAGGTAACGCCAACTGATATGCTACCGGACCTACACGACGAAGGATCTGATAAGGACCAATGAACTTCGGTGTGAGTTTCTTGGCCCTTACAGCCCTTCCCACTCCAGTAGTGGGTGTCACCCTGAGAAACACATGCTCTCCCTCCTCAAACTCTAGAGGTCTCCTCCTCTTATCAGCATAAGACTTTTGTCGACTTGAGTAGCCCTCAACCTCTCCTGAATCTATCTCACCATCTCAGTAGTCTGAAGAACTAACTCTGGACCAACCACTACTGACTCACCCTCCTGATACCAACATAATGGAGTCCTACACCTCCTGCCATACAAAGCCTCAAAAGGCGCCATGCCAATACTCGCATGATAACTGTTGTTGTAAGTAAACTCCACTAATGGTAACACCTCCTCCCAGCTACCTAGATGATCCAATACGCAAGCTCTCAAGAGATCCTCTAGTGACTGAACTGTTCTCTCTGACTGACCATCTGTCTGTGGATGATAAGCGGAGCTCAACCTCAACCTCGTCCCCAAAGCCTGATGCAGAGTCTGCCAAAACCTAGAAGTAAACCTTGGATCTCTATCAGAGATAATACTAGAAGGCACTCCATGCAACCGTACTATCTCTCTAATATACAACTATGCAAGTCTCTCCAAGGACCAGCTCTTGTTGACAGGAATAAAGTGCGCACACTTAGTCAACCTATCAACAATCACCCAAATAGTGTCACTGTTCCTAGCTATCCTAGGCAACCCCACTACAAAGTCCATAGTGACACTATCCCACTTCCACTCAGGAATCTCCATCAACTGCATAACCGGTCCAGGTCTTTGATGCTAAATCTCCACTTTCTGACAAGCCAGACAAGCGGCCACAAACTCTGCTATCTCTTTCTTCATACCAGGCCACTAGAAACTCTTCTTGATGTCCTGATACGTCTTAGTCATACCAGGATGTATGCTAAGACGACTCATGTGTCCCTCCTCTAGAACAGCTCTCCTCAACTCCGAATCACAAGGTAAACAAATCCGACCTCTGAATCTCAGAATTCCATCTGTACCAAGCTCAAAACCAGCTGCCCTCTCAGTACCAAGTAATCCCAAAATTCTCAACAACTCTGGGTCCTATAACTGTTTAGTTCCCACCTACTTCAAGATTTCATTAGTTATGGTGATCATACCACAACTAATGTGATCCTGAACAACCTCCACCTCTAGTCTCAAATCTCTGAACTGCTCAATCAGCTCCAATTCCCTAATCATCATATGTGACACCCTTTACCCCAACATTAATACACAAAATACTATTCTTCTCGGAGAGTGTGAGGCACGCCAAGGAGGCTGAGTTCATGTGGTTACACCAGGGTGGGATGTCTGTATCGGAGTATGCGATGAGATTCGAGCACCTGGCTCATTTCTATTCGCAAGCTATATCTGAGGCCTGGAAATGCAAGAAGTTTGCTGAGGGTCTGAAATATGAGCTGAAGAGGGTGGTGGTGCCTATGGCCATCACCGAGTTTCCGGCCTTAGTGGAGAAGACGAAGGTTGTGGAGAGATTAGAAGGTGGTAACCGTGTGACTAGAGCTGCTGAGGGACCAGCTGGGTCCAAGAAGGGAGGAAATCAGAGGAAGCCATATGATAGGCCCCAACCACAGCAAGGGGGTCCTGTCATTAGGCAATCTGCTGATACTGCTAGAGGAGGGAGACAGGGTGGAGGTGCTGCCCTTAGATGCTACAGCTGTGTTGGGCCTCATTTGATCAGGGATTGTCCACACATAGAGAGCCGGTGTTTCAGGTATCAGTAGATGGGCCATGAGTCATTCAACTGCCCCACCAGAAACAGACCAGAAAGGAGTGCTCAGAGGAGTGATGTGCAGAGAGGTGATGCCCAGAGGGGTGACACTCCCACTACAGCTGGTAGGGTATTCGCCTTGACGGGTGCTGAGGCTTCGACTTCTTCTGACCTTGTGAAGGGGAAGGACAAAGCTTCTGGTAAGGATGTGACGTTTTTGTTTGATTTTGGAGCTTCCCACTCCTTTATTTCCTATGCTTGTGCTACTATGCTGGGTGTGCCTTTGTGTGATTTGGAGTTGAGACTGCAAGTGTCGACGCCCGCTTCTGCTTCGGTAGTTGCTTCAGAGCTGTGTGTTGGCTGCCCTATTGTTGTGAATAGGAAAAGGTATAAGGTGAACTTGATCTTTTTACCTTTGGTTGATATTGACATAATCTTAGGGATGGATTGGTTGTCTGCCAATCGCATTCTTATAGATTGTGCCAATAGGAGGTTGATATTTTCTCTGGTGGAGGAGAAGCTGTTGATTTCAGCTGGCCAAGCTGAGTCATTGTTGAGGGATGGAGCAGAGTGTTGTCTTCTGCTCGCTGCTATGAGTGTGGAGACCGAGAGGGTCATTGCTAAGATTGATGTGGTGAGGGATTTTGTTGAGGTGTTCCATGATGAGGTGCCTAAGTTGCCTCCTGTTAGGGAGATGGAGTTTAGCATTGACTTGGTTCCTGGTGCAGGGCCAGTGTCGGTGGCTCCCTATAGGATGGCTCCTGCTGAGTTAGTTGAGCTGAAGGGTCAATTGGAGGACCTGTTGGAGAAGCAGTTGGTGTGGCCGAGTGTTTCGCCGTGGGGTGCTCCTGTGTTGTTGGTGAAGAAGAAAGATGGAGGTAGTCGACTTTGTGTGGATTCTGAGGGACCAGCTGGGTCCAAGAAGGGAGGAAATCAGAGGAAGCCATATGATAGGCCCCAACCACAGCAAGGGGGTCCTGTCATTAGGCAATCTGCTGATACTGCTAGAGGAGGGAGACGAGTTGAAACTTGGGCAGGGCCTCCTCCTCTGGATTCCCTAATTTTTTCCCTCTCTTTCTTTCTTTCTCTCTCTTTCTCCCCCTCTCTCTCTCTCTCTCCCTCTCTCTCTCTCTAGAATTTTCACTTTTCACTCAGTTATAATTTTTCACCCCCCAGTCTCTATTTATAGGCATCCTGGGGTCTCGGAACGGCCCGTACTGATTTCGGAACGGCCCGTGCCGAAGCCTTCAAACGTGGGCAAATTTCTCAACTGGAACGGCCCGTTCCGAAACCCAACAGAACGGCCCGTTTTGCTTTTAGAACGGCTCGTTCTCCCTTCCAGAACGGTCCGTTCCAAGCCCGTTCTGGGACTTTGAAAAACAACATATTCCTTCTTTTGGAACGGCCCGTTCCAACACCTAGAAATACCCTTATTCCTTTATTAAAATTACGAAAATGCCATCAATAATAAAAAAAACTGGGTGTTACATCATAGCAGACATGTGAATGGATTTCCTACTCAATGCATCTGCTACCACATTCGCCTTCCCAAGATGATACATCAACTGGAAATTGAAGTCCTTTAGAAATTCCATCCACCTCCTCTGTTTCATATTCAGCTCCTTCTGATCAAATAGGTATTTCAAACTCTTGTGATCACTGAATACACTGAATCTCGCACCATATAGATAGTGCCTCCACGACTTCAAGGAAAACACCACAACTGCAAGCTCCAAATCATGAGTAGGATAATTTCTCTCATGGGTCTTAAGTTGCCTCGAAGCATATGCAACTACTCTCCCTTTGCATCAACACACAGCCCAACTCCTGGTGAGAAGCATCACAAAACACATCAAAATGCTCACCAGTGTCAGGTAATACCAAAACTGGTGAAGTAGTCAATCGCCTCTTCAACTCCTGAAACCTCTGCTCACAAGCATCCGTCCACACAAAAGGCTGATCCTTCCGAGTTAGTTGAGTCAAAGGCATTACTATTCGAGAGAAACCCTCTATGAATCTCCGATAGTAATCTACTAACCCAACAAAACTCCTAATCTTCGTAGCAGTCCTCGGACGCTCCCACTGAATCACAGCCTCCACCTTGGTTGGATCTACTGCAATCCCGTCTGCTGATATCACATGCCCCAAAAATCTCACCTCGGACAACCAAAACTCACACTTGGACAATTTGGCATACAACTTTCTCTCCCTCAACACCTCCAAAACCGACCTCAAATGCTCATGGTGATCCTCCAATGATCTAGAATATACCAAAATATCATCAATGAAGACCACCAAAAATCTGTCCAAGAACGATCTAAAAATCTTGTTCATGTAATCCATGAACACTGCTAGAGCATTAGTGACACCAAAAGGCATCACCACATACTCATAGTGACCATACCTAGTCCTGAAAGCAGTCTTCGGTATGTCACTTTCCTTTACCCTGATTTGATGGTATCTGGATCTCAAATCAATCTTCGAAAATATTGAAGCTCCCCTCAACTGATCCATCAAATCATCAATCCTCGGAAGTGGATACTTATTCTTTATCGTCAACTTATTTAAAAACTCACATTCTCCTCACTGCCCACAACCCTATTTATAGACATTCCGGAGTGGCCAGAACGGCCTGTACCGAATCCGAAACGGCCCGCTCTGCACCCCTTCTTCATGTGCAAAAATCACATGCAGAACGGCCCGTTCTAAAATCAGAACGGCTTGTTCTGAAACTCATCCAGAACGGCCCGTTCTCCATCTAGAACGACCCGTACTCCGCTCCAGAACGGCCCGTTCTCCATCCAGAATGGCCCGTTCTCCCTCCAGAACGGCCCGTTCTCAACTACGATTTACAGGTCAATTTAATAGCTTGGAACGACCCGTTTCAGATTGGGAACGGCCCGTTCTGGGCTACTAAATCACCTATATTGGGCTTTCTAAAACAACTTGCTACGTTACAGCTCCCCTTGTTATAAGAGATCTCTTAGTTGGAATGTTTGACGATGCATTGTGTTGTAAGCTGATATGTTGTTTTATTGCTAGGTGACTACATTTTTGACAAGTTGGATTACTTATATATGTTGTGTTGACATGTTGAAAGGTGTTAATTTTAAGAGATGCGATGAATGTTGATATATGTTTTTGAAGTTGAGATTATGTTATTATTGTTGTATGTTGTTGATGGAGTCATCATATGTAATTATCTTATTTGTTTCTATATCGTGCTATTTCTTGAATTTAAACTTACCTTTCCATTTTCCTTATTGTTGAAATGCAATGATTATATTATTATGGGAGTAAGACAGGATAAAGCTAGAGAGCAAATCAAATTTTGAGGGTCATACTAGAGATGACAATTTTGGTTGTGATGTTATTACATAACTTGTAGATAACAATTGTTTGATAGACAATATAAGATTTATGCTTTTAGTCAAGATTATTGTGTGTGTTTATTTTTAAAGTTATAGTCCCATTGAGGAATTTATATTTATGATTATAGTTAATGAGTTTTACAGACACACACACACACACACACACACACACATATATATATATATATATATATATATATATTATTAATTACTGCATGTATATTCAGGAACTATTTGCATGACAATCTTAGGTAATTAGATTATTTTTTCACTACTTGCTTGTTGGGCTATACATAAAGTGTAATGATGTGTCAGGCCATTATTATAATTATTGTTGTCATCACTAGCATTAACATCATATTGCACCATTATCATTAATACTATATCATCGCCACCACCACCATTGGAACTACCATCAAAATCGGCAATGACCCCACCACAAACATTGTTACTATTATCATTGATACTAACTCCACCACCAACATTGACATTGTTATCATCGTTGATATTAGTGTTGTCACTACCACTACAATCATTGAAATCACTATTCTAAAGCATGGCATAACCAGTTGGATCCATCAAACTAGCCTGTTTTGACCTTAATTTTTGGCAGGACAAGTTGATGTTTTTCACCCATCAAACTTGCTTCTAACTTGTGTTGCTTGGCTCACCAACAAAATAAGTCGAAGGTGAGTCAAGACAAGTAAGTTAACCAACTCATTTTTATTTTTTTAAAAAGTTATTATATTATGTTACCTTGTGTTATTTATTATATTAAATTATAATATTTAAATAAAATAATATATAATTATATGGGTTTAATGGTCATGATTGTAAAATGTTTAACTTAGTTGACTAACCATAAATCAAAGTTTGTACGACTTTTCGGATACTTATAATAAAAATCAACAAACTTATTATTTATGGTAGGTTGTGATTGGACGATAGTGTAAAATTGTGTTTACACTATCAATGGATCATCATTAAATCCTAATTATATATGCACATTTAATTGTGTTGTCAAAATTAATTGAAATGGAAACCGATCAATTTATTGATGTGGAAGAACCACAAAAATGGAGTATGAAATAACTAAATGAATCGGTTCAAAACCAATGAAAATCAATCAAGAATCAATCTAAAAAGTTGGGTTGAACCGATCCTTTAAAAATGTTTATTTATTTATTTATTTATTATTTTATTTTATAAAATTATTTAAAGTATTTCTATGGCAAACAAATAAATATAAATAGAATTGTAAATTAGAATAAATTTTGTCATTTATTAATTTTAATAGCTTTTTTATAAAGATATAATTAGTCACTTATATTAGTTTATAACTTTTTATATCATAATATTTTATATTTTATATTACATTAATTTGAGAATTTTCTACTCTAAATGTAAAATTGTCAATATATATTATTATATTTATAAGAATTTTAAACTTAAATATTATATTTAGATTTTACATGCATTTTAATATATATATATATAATGAATTATTTTAATTTTAGTATTATAAAACTATGATATTATGTTTATATGATATTATCTTTTGTATTATTTAATTATTATTATTTTAATAATATCTATTCGATTATGATTTAATCATAATTATATTATTGAATTTTGAATTAGTGCGCTTTGATCAGTTTGATGACTGGTCTAATTTTTAAAAATTTAAAAATAGTCACGATTATTTTTTATTTAATTTATTGTACCTAATAAGTAATTATTTAAAAATTAAGTTAATGCATTTAATTTTCCTATATGTATAACATATAGATAAATTAAAAATTAAATTTTAATTGTCAACATATAGATGAAACTTTCAAATTTTTTTTTCATGATGAATGAGTCTATTTTATCACTCTTAAATATTATCTATACTACCATTATTGTTGATTTCCTGTCACTACATTACCTTCATCTCTAATTTTAAACAATGTGACCCCACCATTACAAATTATTGTTATTGTCATCATCATCACCACTAACATTAGTACCATTAACATTTTCATCACCTAATAAATACACTTTAAACAATTTTAATAGGATAAGAATTTTTTTAAGATATATTTATTTTAAAACTAAAAAATTAAAAAGAAAACTAAAACTAAAAA